TTATCGCCACAGTGGCATGACAACACGATAATTTCTAGTTTACTCAAGCATACTGTTAAGGTAAAGTAAGTAGTTCGTTTTATCAATTATGTTTAACCTTGATCAACCAGAAGGTTTCAAACTTTCAATTATCCATCTTTAATACTAAGCCTTTTTACAAAATATATATACATGTCTTTGTTGTTACTAAATATATTTGTTCTTTTTAAATTTGTCATTTTGTTAAACTGGAAGGCAACCTTAATAAAGCTTTCTGTAGAGTGAATCCACTTTTATATTGCATTTGAATTTTGAACTTTCAGTTGTAGAGTGTAATCAGTGACAGTGTATATTGTTTTAGTGCAGTGACTCCAAAGGCATGCAGAGTGTAAAGTTCATTATTAATTTTGATCATTCATTTATATCTAAACATTTGTTATTGTAAAATATCTGTAGGTGCTTTTCCACCAAATTCCCAGCATATATATGTGCTTGTTGGTTTATATATGCCCCAGGGGTATTCAAAAAAGAAACACTGGTTGCAACAATGTTGTGTTTTGCAGTGCCAGATTAATTAACATTTCGCGGGGCCTGTCCACCTGTGGCATTTTATCAGTGCGGGGACCCAAGACAGCGCCCCCCCTGCATTTTAAACACTGAATTCAGAAAGATTCAAAAACATAAACATATCCTTTTGTATTGTACGTGTTGAGAAGTTGCTTGAAATTTGTGTATTTACAAAAAAAGGAAGTATACATCAATAATTTTTACTAAAATTAAGTGACACAATGGGTATTAACAATAATATCATATGACAAGTAATACCTAAATGTGTATACCTGCTGTGCAGTGTGCATTATGTTTGGTTGGGCCCTGCACTGAAATAGGGAAAACCGTGGGGCATGTGGCATATGCCGCTTCTGCCATATGGTTAATCTGGCACTGGTGTTTTGTCACCTGCATGGGGTTTCTTGACATAGTTGTTGAAACGGCACAATTGGAAACAACTGGCTATGGTAACCATGCTTTTGAAGCATAGATAATATATATAGATAGTATTAGAGATAATTTCATAAATAGCATGAAGTATATTTGTCTTCTAATGTCAGAATATGATCACACTGCCTATAGTTGCCTGACAATTTTACTTTTGTATCAATGAGTCGAGTCCATCAGTGGTTGAGGTTAAAGCAGGTTATTATTTCAAATTAACTTTGAATGATATCTTTTATATTTGTTCATATATTTCAATATTGGGTCGTTCCAGAAAAGATCCATACCCCCCCACGGAGGAAATTTTTGCTGTCCGAAGGGGGAGGGAGGAAAAATGTCTTAGGATGTCCGAAGGGGGGAGAGGGATGTGGATATGTTTGTCTGAAGGTTTGAGACTGTGATAAAGCTATGTGATCGGCGATTATAATGAGCACGCAATTTTTTATCGGCTATATGTAGCTCTTGAACACCGGAACGTTTATGTAACAGCAATAATTATACGTCCACGTAACTCGTAAGCAAAATAAGCGGCCCACTTTTGCATGCATGGCCACCAAAAACTAACTCGCTGTAACAGCGTATCCTGCATGTTGAGAATGAGTCGAAAATTGACACGCTTTATTTATATAGTTTGCAGTTTTCGTTCGTATATATAAGTTTGAATTATTTAAGTGTTAAAAATAATAGTTATTAAACTGTTGCTCGAATTAAGAGACTGCTATGTGAACTGAACTCAAAACAATTTGTTTTAGTATATAGTCAATAAAGCTTCCTTGCGAGGTGCGTGTCTAGAAAATAGAAATGGCTTTCATATTAAGGGCGAGGTTAAGGAATGCAGTAATACTAAAAAATGCATTAACATGTAAGTAAACACAGCAACGCTTGTCAATCAGTCGCAAGTTACATCGAATTTCAGTCCGAATTTTACTTGAACAAATTTCGAAGTGAATTTCTGCAAATTATCCGACAAAACCTGCCACGTGTTTGTGTTCGCAAGTCACAAGAAGCCGCCAAGTGTTCCACCACGCCG